AATATGTAACTTTTATTACCAATAAAGAATGTGTACTTTCAGTCAAAAATCCTTGAGTAACCAAGTCTTAAGGCATCTTATGACCCATCCTGCACATAACCAATTCTGTTATTAACTTGTGGGACAAGTTAATTACAAGTACACATCCTTTGCCATGCTTCTTAGTAACCTGTCTTCTATCACCCAGTTAGTAAGAGCTCAAGAATTTGTCTTTTTTAAAACTAGTTTAAGAACACTGAGGGGATCCCTGAGTGGCTCAGCGGTTTAGCACCTGCCTTTGGCCCAGGATGTGGTCCTGGAGTCCCGGGATGGAGTCCCACATTAGGCTCCCTGCATAGGGCCTGCTTCTTCTCCCTCTGCCTGTGTCTCTGCCTCTCTCTGTCTCTCATAAATAATGAATAAATAAATAAAATCTGAAAAACAAAACAAACCACAACACTGAGAAGACCTGTAATGCAACCAACTATGTAACATGGCAAAACTATGATTGTGCATTTTCCATATCATTGCCCTAGTTCTTGGTTGACATATAATTGAAAATTTATCTTAATTACCTACCCCCAAATTGTTATTTAAAATAGTTGCATAAAAATTTAGTATTGTAGTAAACAGGAGATTGGGAAACACTTTAGCAAAAACTTAGATATTCAACACAGTATTAGCATATACTGTAACTAAGCATGCAAGAACTTGAGAACTTCATGGGATGATTAAAACTTTCAGATTTTTATAATCTCTAAATTCACATTAAGATGATGTCCAAAAAATACCTTTATCAATTGACTTTAAACTGCCCCAATTCAGAAATTAAAAAACAACTACCTAATTCCTTTAGGTTATTTTTTAACTTTGGACACTGACTTCCATGAGAAACTTAGTCATGACAGGTAAGTTATTGGTACACTGGCAATTCTTTTCATGGCATATGCCTGAGTCAGAAATAAGTGACAAATGGAAACTGGAAAAAAAATCATGATGAGGAGATTGGGGAGTGAGATTTTGTATTCCCACTTGTATATACACTCACATGTATAAGTGTATACACACACACACACACACACACAAATACTGGCTAGCCATTAATGTGGAAATCCTGACCAAGGTTTATTTATTCATTTATTTTTTTCAAAAATATTTTATTTATTCATGAGAACACAGAAAGAGAAGCAGAGACACAGGCAGAGGGAGAATTAGGTTCCATGCAGGGAGCCCGATGTGGGACTGGATCCCAGGAATCCGGGATCGCACCCTGAGCCAAAGACAGATGCTCAACCATGGAGTCACTCAGCGTCTCCTGACCAAGGTTTAAATTTAAAATCCTGGCCGAGAGGAAACAAAGTTGGCCCCAATAGTAGTAAGATAAGTAAGAAATTATTTTTTTCTGCCTATCCCAGGGTTTTAAGGTATAGTTGTCTGCCTTTGATGCTGTATGATTTGACACCATTTTTAATGATTCCGGCAGGTTTTAAAGGAACATGACTCTAAAGCCAAAATTTAGAGAACCACACATCGGTTTCTTTTGGGATATTACCCAAGTTAAATAAATCTTTTCAAGATTCAAAAAGCAAATCAAGTGATACCGAATTTTAGCTCTTTGAGAAATATTTAGAACTGGTGATTTAGAATCACTGACAGTTTTGTGGTGCTTAGCATCATAAAACTTAAATTCTCCAAATGACATTGCTATTCTAACTTGCCTTGAAATTCCAAAAGTGAAACCTCATCAAATCTCACTGAATGATTCAAAGAGAAGTAAACAAAAATTTTAAATCATTGGCTAATCTATGCTATTAAGGGCACATGCTAGCTAGAAGATATAGTAAAATCTAATCTGAAATTAATAGCTGATACACTTGCAAAATTAAAAATCTGATGTCTACATTAAGGCAGTTTTTACAAATGATTCCTACTTATAACTGTATCAAAATATAGGGATGTTCTTATTATGTGTGTGGGGAGAAAACCAATGCAAACACAAGTAAAGCCTCCAAAAAAAGAAAAGTTTTGATTTTGGTCACAGATATGAAGATCAAAGTCCTTGAGCTTCAAATTCTGACACCTGACACCCAGTGTTTTATTTATTTGAAGTACTTGGATGGTATTCATTAACACTTTGAAACAAAATAGCTAAAAGTCAATTCTTCCTGTATTTTGTTAAAATATCTCAGTTCAAAATATTTTATAAATCCCATGTAAAGAATGAAACTCCTAGCTTTACTAGTTTCTTAAGCACAAGTCTCACTTTAAAGACCTGAATCAAATGAAAACTTTTCACGTTTATTTAAATATAAATGATAATTAAAATATTCTAAAAACAAGTTATTATTATTATTTTTATTTTTTTACAAGTTATTATTTTTAAAAACCATCTTCGGTAAATAAATAAAACTATCTCGGAGTCCCTTAAAAAAAGGTATCCTATGGACTAAACTGGCCAGTGTTCCTTACCAACATAATCTGCTTTGTATGCTGATTAGATATCCTCAACCCCCAGCCCCACTCCAAAAGTTTACTTACCTGTGTTGACTGAAGATTTATTAAGACTATGGATTAAAAAAGAAAATTAAAAAAAAATTTTTACCATCGTATTTTAAATATCAAGAATAGCTCTTTTCTAGTCCACGACAAACCATTATAAGGTAGTAAATAACCCCCCACTGTGTAGCCCACCACTGTGTAGCCCATTTAAAACAGGCCTCACTAAAATTATACCCTAATGTGAAACCAGAGTCTCAGATAGTCTTGAGCAAGTCTTAGTATATACATATTCATCTCATCTTAAAGTTATTTGAGGGGCACCTACCTGGCTCAATTTGTGAAGCATGCAAATCTTGATCTCAAGGGTCAAGAATTCGAGCCCCACATAGGGCATAGAGACTACTAAAAAAAAAAAAAAAAAAAAAAAAAAATTCTCTAAGCGCCAGAAAAAGTAGTGGAAATTCAGCTCTTGTAGCAGACATTTATCTATGACTCTCAAATAGCAGCCAAAGTTTGTTGTGGAGTAAGTTTTTCCAGGTTTGGGGTAAAAGAAAAAGGCGATAAACACATTACAATATGATATAAACTACTTGTTACTATAGTTTTCACAGAAGGAAAGATTTAATCAGTAATTCAAAATTTGCCAATTAATTTTTTACTTCCCTTAAATTTAGTTATATTTTGATAGGCAATCTCAAAAAAAGATTTCTTTTTTTTTTTTTCAAAAAAAGATTTCAACTCTATAAGATGCACAGGAACACAGAACACATTTAATGGGAAAAAAAATAAAAAAAGCTTTAAGTTAGACTGTTAAGATATATCAAAAACCTCTGTCCTAAAACAAATGTGGCAAATAATGTTTAAAAAGGAACTTATATTTAGGGACTATTAAACAAAACCTATATAATACATACAATTACATTAAAGATTACGGTATAACTTTGGATATTGTTATATGCTTAGCCCAGTTTCCCAGAGTAAGTGCATGCTTTCCCTCTAGAAACTGGAAGATGCACTACTGCCACAGGGCAAGGATATCACAGGTGAACTGGGCATTGTGAAGGTTGGAATGCAAAGGTTAAATCACATGGTTCAAATCCTTTAAATTCTAATTCCATCAACTCAGAGTTAAGCAGGGCCTTTTCCCACAGTTGTCACATGCATACATATTTGAATACAGGCACAGAAACTTGTCAATTTTATTTGGGTAACAAAGGGTCTCCAAATTATATTGAAAAATAAGTCCTAATTATTATCACTCCTGTAAAAAAAATTTAGCACATTTTTCACAAATGATGTATGTAAAAGAGAAGAAAATACACATTTTATAATATCTTAAACTTTTTTATTCCCTACCAGAGACATTTTGTCTTTCGTTTTCTTTCAGTTTTCTACAATTTCCAAGTTGCACCTGTATTTAATACTGCTTTAATCTGCTAAAGACATTAACTGATTGCTTTCCTAAATCTAAGGATTATATAGTTTTAGTATAAATATATATCACATATTTTCGTAAAATTTTGACAAAACCGAATAAGCATGCCTTTTTTTAAGTCCATGCTCCTTCCACTGTTTATAAAATCTGATTTAAATGATCAAAAATTCTTGGTTGTCATTCTTCAGTTACAACAGTCTTCCTTCTGAACTGCCACTCACTTCTTTTTACATAATAACAAGCAATAGAAAAACCAAAGGAATTATCTTAATCTTAGTTCTTCCTTTTGACACTATAAAATAATGTGATTTTTTTTTTTTTTTAATGAAACAAATACATCCAAAACTCAATACATTCAAATGAGCTGTGTCTCCTTTATGGTAGTTACCGTGGAAGGCCACAGTTCATTATCCTAACTATGCTACCACTGCTCAAAATACCTTTCAAACTCTTTTGGGATCACCTTCAAAGCCAGATGCATACTTTCTACTATTACCTCAAAGACAGATTAATTTTTGGAAACTGTCCAAAGTCATTTGGTGCCAAATGATGGTGACCATAAAAAAAATTTAAAAAAATCAAGCTTGATGATACTTTTTGTTTTCTTAAACATGTGTATCATAAAGTTAATAGTGCGTATGACTTAAATGAGCTCTGAATGCAATTCTAAAAGAGCAAAACCCAAGAGGTTTTGAGCAATGGTAGATTGCTGGAATTAGGAAATAATTTCCCAGCATGATCACTATACAGGGTAACATTCATTTAGCTGTCTATGTTCTGGCATATTTGTTTAAAGTGAACATTCTGAGTTAGAATTTGTTTTTAAAAAGGAATATCATTCTTAGAAAAAAAAAAGAATTTTATTCCTTTAAAGCATCACTGTCAAAGTAAGTACTATGCAAGTGTTTTGTTAGAAACTAGTTCTCCTTACTTTATCAATAAAGACTACTTTAAAAAACTTGAAAGCAAATAACCAACTTATTTGCTCCCAGGCTTTTTAAAATCATTAACTGAAGATAAAATAATTTTCTAAGGTACTAAAAAACAAAAAACCCCAAATGTAATAAAAACACATCAAGAACCAAACTACAATTTCTGAGCTGCACTGTTTATTTTGCTGCTTGAAACCTAAGTGACAGTATGCCACTATAATTATGGGGTTTCATCTAAACCTTTACTACACTGCAGGTACAGAAATATACGGACACATTTTTTGGAGAATTGACATTTTGCAAAATGCAGCAAACATTTTAATTTATACATGAGAAAAGGAAGTGTTCAAAAGGGTATGCATTTCAAGTTATTGCAGGTTATTTGTGAGAGAATTTCTGCAGGTAAAACATGTTTAAATTTAACCAACAGTAACATGTCAGTGTATTTAAAATCATGACAAAAATCTTCTCTCTGGTCATGTTGCCCATGACAAATTACTATGATGTTGTATGTTTAGGGCAAGATGTCAATACAGCATAAATCCCATTGCATTTTGGTTTTCTTCTGGAGATTAAAGCTGTTTTTCTTGGGATAAATGCAGCAGCAAAACACAAACCAGTTGATCAAAAAAAGCACTTCTGCCATAACTCCAATAATTTTCAGGACACATCAACCGACAGTAGTTTTGCCATTCCCAGTTCTTTTTAAGGATTACATCTCTGCACTGTTGCATTAAGTACGTCTGTAAAAGCTTGTTCTCTGTTAAGCCAGTTTACTGACTACAGCCTGGTTGAGAGAATTTAGTTGATTGGTCCATTTATCTAGTGCAGTATATCGGGCACCACCCCTCTTCTGGTGATCCAATTCAAGGAGTTGGTTGACTTGATCAATTCGGCCATGAATAGTGCTAGAAATAAATAAATAAAAGAAGACATGTCTACAAACCATTTTCATTGAGTGTATCTTTTAGACTGTTTCATAAAATATTTAGAATATCAATAAATGCAAAAGAAAAAACTGCTGCCTCCACTAAGTGACTGAATTCAGGATTACTTATTTCATTCATCGCCTTACAAATCTTCTTTTTTTTTTTTTTTGCCTTATAAAACTTTAGACAGAAACTGGAATTGAGCTACCTTTCATCAATTTCACTAAAAGAACCAAGAGGCAAAGACTTATATGATTAATCAGGAGCAAAGTGACTAATTTGTGAAGCTTTAAATACCATATTGCTTTCAAGAAAAATATAATTTCAAAACTATTCTATACCATATCTTATACTTTAAAAAAAATACTATTCATTAACTCTCTAGATACGGGTCATATACAGAATCAGAAATCTTACTGAAAACCATTTACAACTTTTTCAGAGATCAAGGGCTTAATATATTTACTCATTCACAAAAAGCCACCATGCATACATAATATATCTCTTTTAATAGAAAATCCTAGCCAAGGGGTGCTTTTTTGAAAACTCAAGAATTCTGCTATCTTTGCCCCCATTATTCAAATGTTATGGTCCTAAACATTTTGTGATAAGATAGAGCCAAGTACTTACTTATCCAATATGCACTGCACCAGCAAGCTCTCCACATCAGCTACATCTATGTTTAACTCCTAAGACAAAAGACTCATTATAATTCTACTAATTAACTTCTTTAAAGGCTTTATGATAATGAATATTCTAATTTTAAATTTATTCCTACCACTTAAAAGAAATATAATGAAAAGAAAGGTTAAGACAAATTTCATTATCACATGAAAATATTCCTGAGAACACAGATCTGATCATATTTAACTTTGTAATTTTTATTTTAAACTTTGTAACTTTTAAAGTACATTCTTACCATAATTTTATTGTGGTTGGGTCAACACTACATCAATTACATATTTTAGCCACTACTCTGTCTTCTGATGTTCTCTGAGGCTGAGGAATCTTTAAAAAGAAATTTAATGACTCCTTATTTCTCTTTATTGTTAATTTATGCCAAGAAAACACAGAATGAAAAGGAAAGCCCTAAGTTATGTTGTATTTTGAAAATGTATTATAAAATGTTACCAAAAATCATTTTTAAATATGCTGCATTTATAACTACAAATTGTAAATATTAAGGTCCATGAATATAAGTACCTTAGAAATAAAAGGAATATGTATTCTTGTGTAAGGCTTAATTAATTTTATGAGCACTTGTGTTCTGATGTTTCGTAAAAGCTCTGAAAGAAAAGACAAAAATGAAAATAAATTTAATAGTTTATATATCTTCACTAAACATTATGCACTCTAAATCATAATAATTAACTATATCAATTGTTTTCTCAAAATACATCTTTCTGCCTGGCAAGGACATAGCATATTTGGCTTTTTTGGTTTGTTTTTAAGTAAGCTCTATGCCCAACAGGGGGCTCAAACTCATCACCCCAAGATCAAGAGTAACATGCTCTACTGACTAAGCCGGCCAGGTACCTTGGACATAAGGTATCTGGATCCAAAAATATCTGGGTCCAACATACACAGATTAAGACTAGAGGCTGACTTTCCCATAATTTTTTGTTCCCACCTCCCTGATTTTGCTTATGTTGTGATGCTACCTAAAATAGTCTCTTGCCTTCTCAATAATACACCACACTGCTCATCATTTCCTCTATAGTTAACATCTTTCAAGAAGCTCTGATTCATGCTAGTCAAGTCTCTTATTTTATGGTCTCTCAAAGCCTAGAGTAATATATTTTTATAATGATCTTGTAATTTTCTCCAATTTCTTCAAAGACAAGTGCCTTAAAAAAAATAACAAAAAACTAGACTGGAGTTCATATACATACTTCTAAGTTTTCCTATATCCACTATGGGTAATATCATTCTAGTTTCCTACAAGAATTTTTAAAATGTCTGCTGAATGAAAGAGAAAGGAGGGGGGAGGGGGAGAAAGAACATTACTTCCAAAGTATTCTTCAGATTTTCCTGATGCATCTGGAATTTAAGTATTTGAGTTGTTCCAAATGGTCATTTAAAAACCCTCAAATAGATCCATAACAGGTGGGAACACTGGAGGTACAAAAGAGGTCCCAGAACAAGGAATGATTTTTGTCCTTGTTAGTCCAACAGAACTTACTAAAAATCTCATACACTTACTGGTACATTAGCCTACTACCCTTCAAATAAATGCATCTCTATATCACCTACAGCAGACTTCTTAAAGCTTTTGTTACTTGTCCTAACTCCTAAAAATTAACTGTGAACCTAAATATCTGTAATAAACATGCAATAATATCTAAATTAAAATAAAAAGGTAAAGGGACAGTCACCTTAAATGAAATGGACATATTAGAACTTGATTATGTTAATTAACAGCAGGAAACTGGTGAATAATTTCTTTAAAACAGCTTCATAATTTTAAATAATATCCTATTCTATGACAGCATTTAGAAACATTTCTATACTTAGCAACACAGAGGAAAACATGCAGATCCATTAAGAAGCACTGTTTGACAGTGACAAGCAAAGAAGGTAACTGAATTCAGTTAGCAGAAAGAACATACCTTCAATGTGTTCCCTAATGAAAGGATCATCCATGATGTTGCTGTGATTTGTTTTCAGAATCTTTTCAAATTCAGTAATGTCATTATTCTGATAGGCACTAAAAGAAAAAGTATAAATCTTGTCAAACACAAAGAGGTCATGTATTAACTCAGATAATCCAAAAAGCCTATTTCTCAAATGTAATAATATAAATTACATTATAGTTTGTCATAGAAATCAGAATTAAACACACAAACATACCCTTTAGCAAATAAAATTAATTTCTTTTTTGATGCTTTTGGTTTTATAAAGGAAAGATTAAATAAATCTTCTGGGGTCATACACTATATTTACTCACTAAAATCTCAAAATCTTAGCACTGTTAAAAACTGACAGATATAATAACTGTTTCATGTTTGATACTTTCAAACTGTGCATTTATCACTTAGTCCCTAAGAAACGAAGTTTTATACATACTACTGTATGGAGGAGTTTGGCCTTATCTTTGAAATAAGACACTACACATCCTCTCTGAAAATCATTCAGAAATGTAGCTTCCTAATTTTTATCTTCTAGAAAGCTACCAGCAACTGCTAACACTCTGCAAAGGGAGTATCTGATTGTAAATTTTCTCTAGCCTTAAAATTCCACCGAGTTATACAGCAGAAATATCAGTGGTAGGTAATTAGTGCCAAATGGGACACACACAAAGGAGAGTGATGACCCTGTTGCAGAAGGCCAAAGGCTGATTTATATTCATAATTCTCTGAGGTGTCTATTATCTATTCTTAAAATAACTCTGTAGGGCACTATGGGGACTGCTAAAGGTGCTGAGAAGGAAGAAGCCAACCTTCTGGATATGGCACCACTGTCTGCTTTATATGTAAGACATATCATCAGCCATTCTGCACGCCCTCTGCTGTGCTTCCATCTGTTGGGTCGCAATGTAACTTCATGTTAGGGGCAGGTGATTCAAGTGCTTCAACAGGAATTATTTTCCTCTAGTCTGCTGGCAACTGACTAGGAAGATAAAATTAGGAAGCATTACTTTCTCACCTACCCCAAATACATTATTGTAATATATACTATAGGAGGATATATTCAAGTAATGAAAATACTTGCACATGTGTATATTTTAATCAAGTGACATTCTTCCACTATTTAAGTGACTTAGGAAGAAAAAATCTTATATGAGGGATGCCTGGGTGGCTCTGTGGTTGGGCGTCTGCCTTTAGCTCAGGGTGTGATCCCGGGGTTTTGGGATCGAGTCCCACACTGGGTGAGCCTACTTCTCCTTCTGCCTATGTGTCTGCCTCTGCCGCTCATGAATAAATAAATAAAATCTTAAAAAAAAAATCTTATATGAAATGTGGGATACCACAGGCCACTTGTTTGGGTCAAAATTTACCATTAAAATCAGATGAGTTCCAACATGGAGGTTTCACTATAATAAGTTATATAATATATAAACATAGCTACTGTTTTTTAAAGGTCTGATAAATCAATCTTTTAATCCATTTTAATGTATTTAACCAATTTAATTTAGATGAAATATTAATGTCTAGGGCAAAACTCTCCCTCAATTTTTCTTTAAGAGTTTTAAAAGTTTAAACTGTTGGGGTGCTTCAGTGGCTCAGTAGTTGAGCATCTGCCTTTGGCTTAGGTCCTAGGTTTGAGTCCCACATCAGGCTCCCTACTTACTGGTAATATATTACCTCTGTCTCTCTCTGTGTCTTTCATGAATGAATAAATAAAATCCTAATTAAAAAAAAAAAGTTTAAACTGTTGCTTAGCAATTTAACTTTATAAACATTTTTTCTCAAGTATTATGAAGTAAATCTCTAACCAAATCTTTCAGTTAATGTGGCCAAATGTTGATGGAATAAACCATTTGAAATAAAGATGGAGAAATCTCCTTTCATAACTAAAATCAACATAATTCAACATATACGTATCAAAATAAACTACAGAAATAAAAAATTAAATTATTTTTTTAATTTTTTTTATATTATTTATTTATTTATGATAGTCACAGAGAGAGAAAGAGAGAGAGGCAGAGACAGGCAGATGGAGAAGCAGGCTCCATGCACCAGGAGCCAGATATGGGATTTGATCCCGGGTCTCCAGGATCGCGCCCTGGGCCAAAGGCAGGCGCCAAACCGCTGCGCCACCCAAGGATCCCTAAATTATTATTTTTTAAATCACGCTGATATGGAGCCCAGCAAGAGGCTTGGACTCATGACCTTGAGATTAAGACCTGATCTGAAATCAAGAATTAGATGTTTAACTGACAGAACCACCCTGGCACCCCAAAGAAATTGATTTTTTAATACTGCAATTTAGAGTTTTTATCTCCTATGTTTTGTCCTCTTAAAGTAAAATCATTCTTATTTTTTATAGCTAGAATTAAAGTTTCCTTAAACAAACCCAGTAATTTGTAAAACCTATAGCCAGATAAAAACAAAATAAATGAGGACATTTTACATAGGAACTTAATATCATGTAATAAGCTTTTCCTCCAAATATATATATGGGTGACTCATAATTTATAGTCTAACAGTACTTTTAAATTATAAAAGACTATTAAAAGAATGTCGGGGATCCCTGGGTGGCTCAGCAGTTGGGTGCCTGCCTTTGGCCCAGGGCGTGATCCTGGAGACCCGGGATCGAGTCCCGCGTCGGTCTCCCTGCATGGAGCCTGCTTCTCCCTCTGCCTGTGTCTCTGCCTCTCTCTCTGTGTCTCTCATGAATAAATAAATAAAATCTTAAAAAATAAATAAAAAAAATAAAAGAATGTCTGTTCACTTAAGTTATCTACATACATATGCAAAAAACCCCACCCTACACTCTGTCCCTAATGATATTCTTTTTGTCTTGGTAAACTCAGCTGCACAATCTAAAATGAAAGACTTGAAGAAACTTAAACTCCATTATTCCCAGACCAGAGGTAAATTTTTCTTGTTCACTGTTTTCTTTTGCAAAAGGAAGCTTTATTTTCTAGGTTTTCCACTTGTTTATCTTCTATAATTTTATTTAATACTAATTGATCATAGCACCTTTTTCAGTTGCTAACCATACCATTCTTCATGAAAGTCATCAATAAATCCTTGAGTTTCTTTTTTTTTTTTTTTAATTTATTTATGATAGAGAGAGAGAGAGAGAGAGAGAGAGAGAGGCAGAGACATAGGCAGAGGGAGAAGCAGGCTCCATGCACCGGGAGCCCGATGTGGGATTCGATCCCGGGTCTCCAGGATCGCACCCTGGGCCAAAGGCAGGCGCCAAACCACTGCGCCACCCAGGGATCCCAATCCTTGGGTTGCTTACCAGTACTTCTCTGCTCCTCACCTCAGAAAATTATCTGAGGGAAACTTTTTAAAAATGATTTTTAAATCTTGTCAATTGAGAAAATATGTGAATAAAGACATTGTCTTGTTGAAAATATTTTATTTATGTGGACCAATTCATAATTTTATTTAGGATTAAGGCAGTTAAAAACAACAAACACTGTGAAATTGTTTTAAAGTGTCTATTGTGGGATCCCTGGGTGGCGCAGCGGTTTGGCGCCTGCCTTTGGCCCAGGGTGCGATCCTGGAGACCCGGGATCGAATCTCACGTCGGGCTCCTGGTGCATGGAGCCTGCTTCTCCCTCTGCCTGTGTCTCTGCCTCTCTCTCTCTCTCTCTCTGTGACTATCATAAATAAAAAAAAATAAAAAAAATAATAAAGCGTCTATTGTCAGCTTTCCACTGAAAAATAGCAAATACACATGTGGATAAGAAGAGAAAAAAGGCAAGTAGCCAGTAGTGTACTTTATAAATCAATACTGTATAAAATCTTGTGACTACTGAACAGAATAAATGACTTCAAAAGATAAAAAATTTCACAAATTTTGGAATAGTTCAAACCAAAATACAAGAGTAAATTTAGAGTATTAACTGAATTCTCAAAATTTCTCTCTTCTTCCCCTCTAATTCACTGCTTTATGAGATTTACCTTAACTGAAATATAAAATCTTACCTTACTAAATTCGTCATTGCTAGAATTTCTGGATCATTTTTGTATGGTTTTGCCTAAGAACAGTAAAATAAATAAATAAATAAATAAATAAATAAACAAACAAATAAATAAAGTATGCTATATGTAAAAAGAAACAGTAACATTTCCACAAAACACAGCTAATAGAAATGAACACACACATACCTCCTGTGAGTCAAATGGATTTATTCCCGATTTCATTAGCATATTTGCTAACACCAAATATTTTAAGCAAGTGGTTCGTCTTGGACTTCCCGATTCATCATAATTCTTGAAGGCTTCAAAAAAATCAGTGTGTGCCTTTTCAAATTCACCTTCTCTCAAGTGCATTTTACCACCACATTCTATAAAGAACAAAACAGGATAAAAGGGCATTTGCAGTTCTGTAGTAAGATTGAGCACTTTATAAAAATCAAATGAAATTTAGGATAGTGGCTTTCCAGTCTTTTAATTCTATAGCCTGCATAGTACCAGCCCAAGGTACTCATACTAGCCCCAAGGTACTCATTTTAATTCTTTTTCTTAGAGGAGGGTACAGAGGGTGGGGGGAGGGGAGAAGGAAAGGGAGATGCCGGGCTTGATCTCACAACCTTGAGATGATGACCTGAGCCAAAATCAAGAGTCAGTTGCTTAAATGACTGACCCACCTGGGTGCCCCAGTACTCACTTTAATTCTAAAAAGCAGCTCTTCATTAAACATCCAACAAGCATTTGCGAATCTTTATTCTCAGTTCAGGCACAAAGTAATTTTATGTGTATCATAATTCAAGAATAGAACTTCCTTTTTCCCCCTTCCCTACCCCATAGTCACAAGAATAGAACTTCTGATGGTAAATTTCCTATTGAAATATTTCACTGACATAAAACTATACAAGAAAAAAAATTCAACTTCTAATTTCTAAGACAAGATCATTTCATTGATTTTGGTAACTTTGCCATTTATTTTCACTAACACAGAAACAACCTTCAGTTATTTAGTCATATATAATGATGCCTTGGTAACTTCCTGTGACACTGCCCACCCTTCTCCAAACAAAACTTGCCTCTGATGACTCCCATGATCAGTGGATGAGGGATGGCAGACTTGATGTGAAGTGACTGTTCATAGAGTGCTTTAAGTTTTTTGTTATTCTTCTGTGCTGTGTACATTTGAATTTCCAAAGCATATATTTCTAATAACTGTGTACCTTTTTTCAGATCATCTTCTCCATCATCAGTCTAGGAAAGTAAATAATGACCTTTAGTCAAAATGGAATTCACAGTAAACCTAGTAATTTTTGAGTTAGCCTGAGATCCTTACATTTATAATACCAATTATGTGTGAAAACGCACCATGATTAAGATCTTGAACACTAAGAACATAGCCAAAAACAGAATGTACACATCCTTTGTACTTCCTAGTCTTTCAATAAGAGAAAAGTGACCAGACGTACTTTTTTTAACGTATAAAACGTTGTAATGTTTGTTTCTATCTAGGAGATTCTTCAGTCTTCCTCAAATCTTCACAACTACTTTATATTCACTGATCTGATCAAAAAGTAGTTCCAAGTGCCTTCCTAGTGCTAGGCACTGTTCTACCTTGGAGAAATACACAATTAAATATAAGCTAATGTTCCTCTTCTACAAAAGTTCACAATCTAGAAGATTAATTCTGTCAGCAGATAAATTACAATATAAATAAATGATCATGATTCTAGCTGAAGTATGAACCATGAAGCAAATACCCAGAAGAATGGAAAAGAAAGTGACTAACTCTGCTAAGGGATGTTAAAGGAGTAATAAAGATAGTAACATGTTAGTTCAACTTTGAAAAATTACCAACAGCCCAGAAACTACAGACCATGAAAAACAACATATGGGCCACAGTCTGAGAATCAAATATCAAGCGCTTACACAAAGCCAAAATGTATTATTTGATCTTCCAACTGAATTGTTTAGTCATTCACTAATGAGTTACAACCAGAGTATAACATATGACATATAAGACATAATTTGTACATCTAGATTATCATGTTTCTGCTATTGTTATTATCAGAGAGAATCTTATGTTCCAAAATAACCTGAGTAAAAATTTCTCCAGAGGACTTTCTCTTATACACACACACACACACACACACACACACACACACACACACACACATTGAAAGACCCTCTTCCATTCAGAAATGGCTTCTCTTACCATTTCCACTTCATGTGGAATTGAACTAATAGTCGTTTATGCATCAGACTAAGCTTTTCTAAGACTGTGTAGGTAAGAAAGAATTCATACATAACTAATTTGCTTTATGAAGCAAAACTATTATGAAATAAAAACATTTTTTTTAAAAGACCCCATTCATTTATTCATGAGAGACACACACAGAGAGAGAGAGAGAGAGAGAGAGAGAGAGAGAGAGAGGGCACAGGCAGAGGAAGAAGTGGGCTCCATGCACGGAGCGAGATGTGGGACTTGATCCCAGGACCCTGAGATCATACCCTGAACTGAAGGCAGATGCTCAACCTCTGAGCCACCCAGGAATCCCTGAAAACATTTTCTTTAAAAATTGAAAAAAAAAAAAAAAAAAAGTAAACAAAAATATCTGCAGGTGATTTAGAACACTTTCCTGATCAACTTTTCTCCCACTTGTAGAAATACCATATAAAATTAAAATAAATAAAAAATAAAAATGAAAAAAATAAAAAAAATTAAAATAGTATGTAGCATAGGAAGAGCTTAAAAACATTTAAAACAGTATTCCCATATAAATTGTAAACCAATATGAAATAACTTATTGACCAAGACAAAAAAAAAATACAAAAGTATAACCACAGCTAAAAAGTTACAGAGGTGTACTGTCCAGATCATGTGGCTATTCAAATTTAAATTAAAAGTAAAATTAAAAATTCAGGCACACTAATTGCCTGAGGACATGTACAACTGGCACTATCATATTAGTGCAGATACAGAATGTTTCTAGTTTCTAGTATCACATGATGTTCTAATGGACAGTACTGTTATAGAAGATTCACATATTATAAAACAGAATATGAAATATCTTTATTACATGTCTCATACATATATTACATGTATTACGTGTTCTCTCCGATTTTCACAGGATCTGTAACTAAACATGAAAGGTTTTTTTTTTTTTTAAAGATTTTATTTATTTATTCATGAGAGACACTGAAAGAGAGGCAGAGACATAGGCAGAGGGGGAAGCAGGCTCCATGCAGGGAGCCCAATGCGGAACTCTACCCAGGAACTCCAGGATCATGCCCTGAGGCAAAGGTAAATGCTCAACTGCCTGAGCCACCCAGGCATCCCATGAAAGGCTTATTCTTAATAAATAAGTATTAATGCCTAGTCTATTTGCGGATACCTGTGCTTCACTCCACAAAAATAAAGATTTAATTAAAACAAGAAGAAATATAACACTAAGAAAAACTGAGCTTCTTTTGGTATCTTATTTGCCAATTTTTATTTTGGGGACGATTTTTTTTTTTAAAGATTTTATTTATTTATTCATGAGAGACACAGGCAGAGGGAGAACAGGCTCCCTGTGGGGAGCCCCATGTGGGACTGGATCCCTGATCCCAGGGTCATGCCCTGAGCCGAAGGCAGACACTCAACCGCTGAGCCACCCAGGCGTCCCTTGGGGATGTTTCTGGAACAAAAACATCCTCAAGTAAGCTTCTTTTCTTTTTTTTTTTTTTTTTTAAAGATTTTATTTATTTATTTATTTAGACACAAAGAGAGAGACAGGCAGAGGGAGAAAGCAGGCTCCATGCAGGGAGTCTGATGTGGGACTGGATCCCAGGACTGTAGGATCATGCCCTGGGCTGAAGGCAGCACTAAACCACTGAGCCACCCGGGCTGCCCCCCAAGTAAGTTTCAAATAAAATTTTTCTTATGCTTTATTATGAAGAAATATTGAGGAAAAAAAAGAGAATGGTACCTGGCAGGACTGATGTAACTGGCGTAAAATTTTTTGAAGCTTTCCATATTCTTCTCGTTCTAAATATAATTTCCCAAGCTGTAAAAGAACATACTTATTAAAATTAAAAGATTTCAATAGGAAAAGGTGTGAATCTTTAGGAGAGTTTATTAAGGACACCCTCCCACTCTTCAAAAAAGAAAAGTAATTGTTACCTTTGTGTTTGTCTTAAACCACAGTCTATCATTCTTAGCATCTTTCAAAGCTTCCAGTGTTGTTTCATAGAATTCCTGCAGTAAATCCATCTGACATAAAAAATCAGAATTCTATAATTGTAAACAGCAAATTTGTACCTGTTAATAAAGTTAATTTGAGCAAACTAAAAGTGCATCTTTGAACTTTAATACACATAAGATACACTATCTGTTTCCGAATGTGTCAGTCTATAATTTAACAAAACTTCAGCAAAACAGAGACCAAACTTACAAAAAGTGCCAAGATCTGTTTTTATGTGAGTTTTTAAAAAATAAAACCCAGAAAATATCTAATGCTCTAATAATAAAGATTTGTCCTTTCTAATCTAGTAACTCATCTTGTATTGACAGAAGTGAATGACATCCACATTGATCTAGCTGTGCTGTTATTAACAGCATATCTTATTCACTCAACTCTCACTTGGTACCTATTAAGTGGCAAACACTAGCCAAGCACCTAAAGAAACAAAGAATAACCTCTCAAAAATTCTTCTATAAATGTAATCAATCAAGTAACCGAACTACATGCTCTTAAGTACTGATAAACTTCTGGAGTTGGGTAGAGGGAAAAGTCTAGCATAATTTTAGCTGTGTCTAAACACTATCAATTTACCAATCTGAGTGTGACATTTTTTTCATGGAAATCATTTTATTTTGTATTATGATAAGGTCCCCTAAGTACTCGCTTTCTGCCACATTGGGCTCTGCCTTTGTTTGAAAACCTGATTCTCTAGATCTCTATTTAACAGGATCAAGAGGATCCACGAAAACAGGAAAGTTTAATACTTTCAGAAAACCTTCCTATCTATTCATGACTGTTGATGGCATACTGAATAAGTTGAGTACGCCCACCCAGTATCTATTCTTACTTTCAAAAGACAAAAAGTGTACATATAATAGCACGCAGCAACACGCAACCTTGAAGTTTGAAATTAACCCCCCCCCAACATCTGGCATAACATTTATAAATAGTGTACCAAAAATGTTTTGATGACACTTGTTTGTAAAACTCAGAAAACATTTCCCCACATAAGAAAAGCCCCCTCAATATGTAATAACTTTAGAATTAGTGCCAATATCTACTCATGTTTTAACAAAACATATATAGTTGACCCTTGAACAACATGGGTTTGAATTGCATGGGTCCATTTATATATAATTTTTTTCTGGTAAATACAGTACATTATCATAAATCTATTTTCTCTTCCTTATGATTTTTTCCATAACATTTTCTTTTCTCTAGTTTACTGTAAGAATACAGTATACACATAACATACAAAATACGTCAATCAACTGTTTATATTATATGTAAGGCTCTTGATCAACAGTAGGCTATATTAGTAGTTAAGTTTTGAGAAGTCAATAGTTATACCATGAATTTTTAACTACATGGCAGCGGGGCAGAGGAGAGGGGCTTGGCACTCCAATAACACCCATGTTGTTCAAGGATCAATTGTAAGTTTATTTGTCTCTATTTCCATTACGTGTATTTTAGATAGAAGATTAAAAGTAATAAATTAACTCAAAATGATTTCTAGTAGAAAAGACTAGAGAGATTCTGACATGAACATTTTTTTATGAGTATTAAAAGTATTAAATATTTTAAGAAATCCTAAAAGACATGGAGAATAAATGACATAGAGAATACTTTTTGTGCTAAAACATCAGATCACGGTGTTTAAGAAAGCTATGTTGCTTAAAAGATTATGAACAGCAATCCAACTAAAAATTATCTTAGCAATACAATAAAATCATTATTGCTTTTCTTAATAACCAAAATCTAGAATAACAAAAGCACTATCCTTCCTAAGGCCCACTATAGTTTCTTCATCATTAATTACACACTCATTCTTTGTAAAAGCGTCTACTAAATACCTATTGAGTAATTCCAAGTACTAATATGAGTACAGGGTCTTCTCTTAAGCATCTTTAATCAAACCTACATAAATCTAACTGAAGTGGTGATGGAGTTTTTTGGAAGGAACTATGATACTAACTATATGGGAGTTTAAGCCTATAAAAATTGTGTAGATTATGTATCTCAAGATATTATTTGAAGAAATTTAGCTAGTTGTTGCTTTTTAATATTGTATAATTAGTACTATAATTAAGAAAATAGTATTATATTATTTCTGAAGCATATCAATGTCTGGCATAACTGCTTAGCTAGAAACTCTAGGCCTTAAAAAAGCCTTTAGTATATAAATAAATAATTATAGAAAGTTGGAAGGGTTTGTTATAATAGCATAAATAACACATTGATAAGTACCAAGGGGAAAAACCAGAATCTAACCTGTTTAGAAGTGGAGATATAATCAAGAATAGAATTAATGGATTTTTCAGAATAATTTCTTGTAACTGCACTCCGAATATAAGTCAATAGCTGTTTATATCTGTTCATCATTTCTGGAAAGTTTGTCTGTCAAGAAAGAAGATAAATGCATTATTAGATATGTATTTATGTATTGAAATATCTACATGATTAAAATTATAACACTACTACATAATTAAAAAACAATAAAGTTTTATGATAAAGTATGTATGACAGAAACACTATAAACATTTTAGCTTAAATTTGAAATTTCTAGATTGACATGCAAACCAAATTTATGAAGTTATCCGATAAAAAGTACAATTTATAGATTTTCAAAATTTCAGATATTGTTCTCATTGCACAAAAAACACTTATAGATCAAAAGAACCACTAAAATATTCACAGACCAAAAATTATAAATAAATCCAACTTTTCAAATGCCTTGGATACCAACTATACAGATATCAGCTATATCCTCTCCTGAAGATTTACCTCTTGATGAGAAAGCTCTCTAGGAATAGTGGTATGTTTCTTTTCTCCCATATTATTGGATGGCTCAATGATAAAATGTGAAGTGAAGGAATCTTTTCAAGCCCAGGTACTCATTCCCCTATCAAGAAAAGTCCTCCCGAGATGCCTAGGTGCTCAGTGGTTGAGCATCTGCCTTTGGTTCAGGGTGTAATCCTGGATTTCCGGGACTGAGTCCCACATCAGGCTCCTTGCATGGAGCCTGCTTCTCCTCCCTCTGCCTGTGTCTCTGCCTCTTTCTGTCTCTCATGAATAAATAAATAAAATCTTAAAAAAAAAAAAAAAAGTCCTCCCACCCAAGGCTCTACTCAATAGTATATGTAGCTAATGTTGCTATTCCTTGCAGGACTATTTGCACTACTGTGATTATTCCAGGAAACATGGGAGATCTGAGGAAATAAAGAACTACCAGTCAAATTTCCAGCACTTAAGTATTTTCATGGATGGTCTATTCTCCCTCAAAGTGTACCATTTAAGTCAATTTTTGAGTCCAACCTGATAACCTGCATGCACTGTCCCCACAATCTCCAATTGCTGTTAATCCCTTTTTTCACTGGGTTCTACTCTACTTTTGATCAAGGAGGTAAGCATTAGCAGATAGTGTTTTTCTTGACTAACAGACCGTATGTGTTTATGAACATGAGAAGACTCCCTGAAACCTAAGCAAGAACTGACTTACAAAAAAGAAAACAGTAGTTGAGGTGGGTGGGAAAAAGTGGACAGAACAATGGGAAAAGCCTTAATTACGTATATCAAGCTACTTTTATTTCCAAGAATGCCAGTACCATGCGAGGAAAAATAATAGGTAATATCCTATCAGTGAGCTGTTAAAATCCACGTTACAGAAGAACATATCTTATGGCAAAGGCAAATCAGAAACAGGACTGTCCTAGCTTTGAGATTGTAACTAGATACTGAAATAGGATTTTAGCAAAAAGTTAGTTTTGAATTCATTTCCTTATGCTCTAATAATTTTAAAACTCATTTTTCAATAATTCTGTTATTATATTTAAAGACTAAGGGAAGATTAGATAAATTACACTGGTGAACATAGAGCAGTTGATAACAAACCCTTCCAACTTTTTATTGCTCAAAACCTTCACATAGCAACATGGGTTCTATTCTGAATACAACTAGAAAAAAAGGGATGGAAGCTGAAACTACTCTTATAATACCCAACTTATTCACAGATGCTGTTTGAGCAAATAAAAGGTAGAGAAGGAAGACAGGCAAAATAACACAAAATACAAATAATCTTTTCCCTTACTTTCTTCCATCTCAGCTCAAGGTAAAATAGCAAAATCAAGTTTTAAGGGTAGCATGTATTTAAATGAGCTCAAAAATTAAATCACTGCTAGTATGTTAAGATAGCAGCTTTCTATAGAGTCTCTTTGTATTATTTCAAATCACAGAATCCTAAGAGTTGAACATTGGGCTTTTATTTTTATTTAAAGATTTTATTTTTATTTATTTAATCACGAGAGACACAGGGAGAGGCAGAGACACAGGCAGAGGGAGAAGCAGGCTCCTAGCAGGGAGCCTGACGCGGGACCTGATCCCAGACCCTGGGATCACGACCCGAGCCAAAGGCAGATGGTCAACCACTGAGCCACCCAGGCGTCCCAAACATTGGGCTTTTAATGTCACTAAAATTGTTTAGTCAAAATCTCTGTCCCTTGAGACACCTGATGCTCCTCCCATATCCTTCTAAACTATGAATTTAAATATAGTATGAGTGTTTAGTATTTTCACAAATAATAAATGAAAAGATAGCACAAGAGCTTTGTACAATATAAAGATATTTTTTGAGAATATCAGCAGAACTAGAAAGGTTAAATTCAAGATAGACATTCTCCCTTCTTTAACTATATTTAAATGCAACACACAATATACTTATTAATGTTTAACATATTTTGAATAGTCTTGATATTTTGTGGATAGTTTTTGTAGATGTAATGGAGGGCCCCTCCCACTGAAGGTCAGTGAGGATGCCAGAGTATGTCAAGAATAGGATGCAAGATTAGTGGAAGTTAACTGGACAAGGTAATAGTCAATTCAGGGAATTGAAAATTGATTTCAAATGGATGGGATAGAGAAGTTAATGAGGAGAGGGAGGAGACATATGAGAAATATAGAGATAGGAAAAAAAAGAAAGTAGTAATAGATTATCAGCTCTCGGAATTCCTGGGTGCCTCAGTGGTTAAGCACGTCTGCTTTAGCTCAGGATGTGATCCTAGAGTGCCAGGATCGAGTCCTACATTGGGCTCCCTGCATGGAGCCTGCTTCTCCCTCTGCCTGTGTCTCTCATGAATAAATAAATAAAATCTTTAAAAAAAAAAGATTATCAGCTATTCTTCCATTTGCAAGTATTTATTTCTGCTAAGCTCCACTTGATATTTTTCTCAAAAATACCTCAATCCAAAAAAAAAAAAAAAGAAAAAAAACAAAACAAAACCCTTCTATCCTTAGGGATTTTAAAGGTTCATATCTGTCCCTAGACCTCTCATCTATTTATTTTCCCCTCCACCTCTACTCTGCACTCTTAAGACCAGCAATTCTATAAGAATACAGTGTCATGACAATCCCAGCTTCTCTACAAGTTCATAAGACAATATATTTGAGCATCTACTAAATGTCAGCCATTATGGTGGTAGCAATGTTAACAGTGAATAAAACGAAGTCCTGCTCTCACGGAGTTTATAGCCTCTGAGGATAAGGCAGCAGAAAGGCATTAAGTAAACAGACCAAGTGGTGATGCATTCAAAAGAAGAAAAAGTAAGATGAATATAAGTGATGATGGGAAGGATGAGATTTTATGTAAGTTGGTCTTACATAAAAGGAAGGCCATAAAAGGAAGAGGAAAGCCATCCTGATATATGATAATACTGAAAGAACTCTGAAAAGAGCCACATGGCTATTTGAGAGGAGAATTTGGGGCACAGGAAACAGCAAATACAAGTGTTTACAAGTAGGAACATGCTTAGGATGACATGAGGACAGCAAGGAACCCAGTAAAGGAGAGAAGAGACAATAAGATCAGAAAGGTAGTAAAGGATAAATTGACATAGGGCCTTATGTGCCACAGTAGAAATCTGGATTTTTATTAAGGAAAGTAGGATTGATTAGAAGATGCAGAGCAAAGGAATGACATAATCTGACCTATATTTTAAAAGTATCACTCTAAAAACAGAAACAGAAGGGTCACTCTGCTGCTTGTGGAGAACAGATTGTTACTAAAGCATGGATAAAAGTAAGAAAACCAGTTAAGAAGCTACTGAAATCATCCAGATGAGAGATGAATGTTGGCTTGGACCAGAGTAATAGAGGTAAAATGGTTACATAACAGTCAGATACTAGATATATTTTCAAGATATATTTTCAAGATATATAAAGACACCTGGGTTTACCAAAGGATTATTTGAGGGGAGACACACAAAGAGAGGAGTTAAGAATATTGCTAGTTTTGGCCCTTACCAGTGAGAGGAACTCCTTGTAATATAAAGTAGAATTTTTAAATTCCAAAATTACACTAATAGTTTGTGGAAAAATCATTCTGTTAATAATGCAGCCAGATATGTATCTAGAGGATAAGTTTTCTTAAACAGAAAAGTTTGACTCCTATGCAGAATTTTTACTTCGTGTTACTGTCATCACAAATGAAAAGTAGGCTAAATAGAGAAATATATCAACAATTATTTTAAAGAGGTAGAATGACATTTTGTTGCCATGAGGTTTTTACCCACAAAATTTCATTTAATAATGAAATAATTATTGCCCCTCAAAACAAATCTTACCAACTTGAAGTTAATCTTAATCATTTGCTTCAGTGCTTTAAATCCCCATTCTCCTTTTTCACCTTCAAGTTCCAAAACCTAAAACATAGAAGACATGTTTAGTCTAAATTAATGCTAATGTTATTTTCTAATGACGCCAATATCTGTTTTGAATTAATTTTACATCATATACATGACAAACATTTCCATCATTTCTCAAGGCCATTTTTAAAAGGCTTTAAGAAAGAAACAGATCTTAAAATGCCTAAGGGTGAGCTTATTTCGAAGTTTCTTCATCAAAAAATTAAATAAGAACTACTGCTCAATTATTCTATAGTCCCAGAAGTCCTTTTTTTCCCTCTGAATAATCCGTTGGTAAGAATAAATCCAAAAGTGTATCAGTAGTCAAGAAATCACATTATTTAATAGTGAAACCACACCTGTGTGATCTGGCCCCCAAAGGAGGAACAAAATTGCAGGGATAATACTATTGATCATCATGCTGGTATCCTTCTGCCAAAACCATACTAGCTTTTCAGGACAACAGACCTGCTATATATACACAAAGCTTGACTAGAAAAAAACAACAGGATATCCCCTTTGGAACATCTCTTTGTACTGCATAATGCAAACTTATTTACAGGATTATCACTCGGTCTCCAAAACACACTTCTGGGATAAAATCACTTGGAACTTACTTGCTCTAAGATATCGTTTAAAAAAATAAACTTTAAAACACAGGATCAATCAGAAAAAAAAGTAAACCTTTTGAAAACTGCTTAATGCTGCTTTTGGGTCATCTTCTTTTAGCGCTTTGGAATTATAGTACTGATTTTCCAAATCCACATTTGGCTCAGAGTTACTATCTTCAGAGTATTCCTGTGTGTTAGAAAGAGATACTAAAATGAAAAAAAAAAAACCCTACACATTGCCCCATAAAAAGTGAATACTGTTAAGATGCAAAAACCATACATTTATACAAAGCAACTTTGCACAAATAGGTGAAATGCCATTGTACCTAATCATTATTCAAAAAACAAGTGAAAAAGCCAAAATCAATAGAAGCGTTTCTTTCAGATCAAAACTACAATTTCCATAGAATTAACAGAAAAGCAAAATGCAAAGAAATAATACTGGTTAATGACCCCCCAATTCTGCAGTGGTTAATCTTTTATTGGTCACAGAGCCCAAGAAAAATAATCATATTTGCTAATTATTACATAAATACTAATATTCATTTTAAGTTCTAATTGAAATTTCTCTACTCCTTAAGTCTAAGTTTCATTTTTCTAACATGGCCTGACTATCTACAATGATAATCTATACATGGCAGAGTAATTTATTGCTAAATATAATTATGTTAATAACAAATTTCTGCTTTATGTGCATTCCACATTACCCAATAGCTTTTATTATATTAATACACTCTAACTAGCTTTAACAAATCAAACTAAAAGAAAATGAATTTACATAATTTTATGTGACTTTCATCACGTAAGTTCAGTTCTTAGTACTGAAACAATAAAGTAGAAAGTTGGAATAAAACAACTATTTTGTGGAGCAGTATAAACAAGAGTTTAAAATAGGTCCAAGATAGTCTGTTTAATGATGAGGATTATAAAATTTACGTAGATTAGTATAATGAAAATCATTAGGAAGACACAAAATTATTTCCATCAACTACAAGTCATTACAAAAGGCAAGCTTCATGTGAAATTAAGAAGTAAACACACAAAGACAAGAACACTATTACAGTTATTAATTTTTTTATTATTACAGTTATTTCTAATTCCAAATACTTGATAATTTGTTGAGCTATTCATGAAAAATTTATAATATTTCATAAAGGCCAAAAAATGAAAAAAGTATAGTGAGTGTAATGCTAGAGTGCTCAAAAGTACATGAATATAAAATGAATTTTTCCTGTGACAGGCAGATAGAGGGGGATGTTTGATGTTACTACAAAATCAGTTTTATCTGGCCACAGAGGTTTTGTAATGTGCACCCTCTAGAGGACAATTATTTCCTTGTGTAAGGATATGAAGCATGGATGCAGTCTTCCAGATTTGAATGGGAATTGTTATGTTTAAGTTTATGAAAATCCTTTGTATCACTTCTCTTTAGGATGAGGTCAAATTCTATGAATACATTTCATAATCACTCATTCGCTTCTTGACCTTGTAAGTTAGGTCTGACTACAACCAACCAAACTAGCGAACTAGCAAAGCAATTGATAAAGACTTAATAAACTATTCATCAAACAATGCTGCAATAGTGACAGCTTCTGAACTAGGTTTTGAAAGACCCAAGGGAGTTTGCTTGCTAGAGGAAACAGGGAGAGGGGTAGTAAGAGAATAGCAGATACAAAATAGCATCATCAGAGGCAAGTAAAGAACTAAAAGCAGTCACGTTGTTCGAACATAAAAAGTCCTTTTTGATTCTATCTTCAACATACATCTCAAATTCATGTACTTTACTCCCTCTTCTTCACCACCCTAGCCTACCAAACCACTAGCATCTCTCCACAGCTTTCCCATTCTCATTTTTAACTTTCAAGTTCCAACTTTCTCATGGTAAGCAGCCAGCATCATCTTCATAAAATGTAAATAAGCACATTCCTTTTCTAAAAAATGGTTTCATATTGCTCTTAAAATTAATTTCAAAAATCATCAAAATCTTACTGACTACACATCTGATCATATCTTTTAATTCAGCTCTCCCTGATTCATTCTATAGCAGCCACCCTGGCCTTACCACACAAGTGGCCAAAACTCTTTTCCCTCTCTCTTCATCTGGGTAACTACTACTGCATAGTATCACCTCCTCAGGGAAGCTTTGGGAATAAGGAATCACAGCTATAATACCTACTTTATACCTTCAGAAATCAAGTCTTCTCTAGCTAACTGTTCAATAACTTACAGGACCAACTAACTAGATCAAGAAATGATTTTTCTACAACTCAAACCTTCAGAATACATCCTTGAACCTGGACATTTTTTTTTTTAAATTTGTATCTATCCTAAAGTCTAAGAATTTGTACTCTCACCCAGAAGTCCATTTATTTTTGTTTTTTTAGACCATAATGGATTATAGTAAAACAACTTAGTAGGCCAGGATATGAGAAGAGGGAAGTAGATAAAGTAATATTTTTAAAAATTAAAAATTTGTTACCCAGGAATTACTGAACTGATTATGTCATTGAAGACAGGAATCTTTACATTTTCTATCACGTCTAATACAGTTCTTTATCATTCACTGAATGCTTTTATAGTACAAGACTGGTTACCTACAATTTCTGATTGGCTCCAGATTAATATTTCTAAACTTTAGATGTTATAACTCCCCAAAATCACAATGATGATAAGATTTAATCAAGTCCTCAACATTTTGTGAATATATTCTCTTCATTTTTCATATTACAGCTGACCCTTGGACAGCACAAGTTTGAACTGCATCGGTCCACTTACATGTGGATTTGTTCTCCTGATAAATACAGTACTGTAAATCTATTTTCTCATTATGACTTTAATAACACTTTTTCTTTGCTTACTTTATTGTAAGAATACAGAATATAATACATATAATAGAAAATATGTGTTAATTGGCTGTTTTGTTATCAAGTAAGTCAACAGTAGGCAACGACTTTAAATTTGAGGGTAATAAAAAGTTATACACAGAACTTCAACTGGGAGTGGTGGCATACCTAACCTCATTGTTCAAAGATCAACTATATATGGATGAAGAAGTGGCATGTATAACATTTTTGCATAACTGCAATTCAATTCTTAAATGCTATTGTCAAAATGTATAAATACGTAAGAATTGATGTTACTGACTGGCATTCTTATAATCAGGCAGTCCCCTGTTACGATCTCCAACAGTGTATTCAGATGGTTTGAACCAGGTTCAAACCTGTCATATACAGCTCAATCAATTACAAGCTGTGTACTACAGCAACTATTCTTCAGTTATTACACAGATATTTTGAGAAGTCTTTAGAATAATTCTGTTGGTTAGATGTCTACTGATACCTATTTAGACACTCAATGATAATGATCTTTAGCATATACCAGCAATTAAGTGTTGCTCATACAAATGCAAATTAAATCTTTCCCCTCTGGGTGCCTGGGTGGCTCAGTCGGTAAGCATCTGCCTTCAGCGGCCCTCATGATCCCAGTGATGTGGGACTGGACCCAGAGTCTGCTTATCCCACTCCTACTCTGCCTTTCCCCCTGCTTGTGCTCCTTCTCAAATAAATAAAATCTGAAAACAAAACAAAACAAAACAACCAAACCAAAAAAACCCAAAAAACCTTCCCATTAAGCTACTCATGGTCAGAGACAGATATGCAAATGAAACAGCAATGCTACAACACAATAAAGACACATAGTAGGTATACTGGCAGCTCAAAGAAAGGAGTGAGTTCGAGAAGGAAAAGTTACCTGAAGCGGGTCTAAAAGTATGAATGGGAGTTGCCTGGGGATGAGGAAAGGCACCTGAAACAAAACAGTTAACATGTGCAAAGGCAAGGAAGCTTGAAATGGTACTGCATATTTGAAAGAAGCATGAATAAATAGATCGGGCTGTGTATAAAGAAATGATTTGAGATAAACTAGTATCAGACTGAGGAACAAGACAATAGAAGTCTAATAAGGAGTTTAGATTAAGTGAAGCCGCTGAACAAATTTTACAGGGAAACAATCAGATTGTGTTTTAAGAACAGTACTCTGGTAGTAATGAAGTAGCCCACTGGGTAGTCTTACAAGTCTGGCTAGGGGATCCCTGGGTGGCGCAGCGGTTTGGTGCCTGCCTTTGGCCCAGGGCGCGATCCTGGAGACCCGGGATCAAATCCCACGTCGGGCTCCCGGTGCATGGAGCCTGCTTCTCCCTCTGCCTGTGTCTCTGCCTCTCTCTCTCTCTCTCTCTCTGTGACTATCATAAATGAATAAAAAAACAAAAAACAACAACAACAAAAAAAACAAGTCTGGCTAAAAGACATGGAAGTTTGATTCCAAGTAGTGGGACGAGAGAAAAGGAAGGACAAAGTATAGAAGGCAATTGAATAAGTATAGAAGATGTCAGGTGATGTTATGGATGTAAAATAAAAAGGACCCACCACATGGGCATAGGATAAAGGGAAATAAAGTTATCTCTAATGACTGGGGTACCTGGGTAGCTCAGCTCAACTCAGGTTGAGTGACTGGCTTATGTTTTTGGCTCTGGTCACAAGCCCCAAATTGGCTCCTCACTCAACGTGGAGTCTGCTTGAGATTTTTCTCTCTCTTTCCCTCTGTCCCTCCCTGCACTTGTGAGCTTTCTCTCTCTCTTAAATAAATAAATCTTAAAAAAAAGTTATCTCTAATAACTTGGTTACACACAGTGTTGTTAGAACAGAGACTACACAAAAATATTAAATATTGTTATCTGAATTACATCAGATGAGAAGGGTATAACTAAAATTTGTAAAAGTTTAAAGAGAATGCTTTTAAAAAGAGAAACTGCTATTTCAATCAATATATTAGGACTGCTTTAAACAAAATTAAGCAATATATGAAAAGCAGTTAAACACTGTTAAAGAGATTTAAAAAAATTAAAACCCACTGAAGTACTTATTTAATAATTCATGCCTTAACATCTCCCCAAAGCAATCTGTGATTCATGCACACCACCCAAACCTAGTCTTCCTTCCCCAGATGTGCCACACAATTCAAAATCTCTGCTTTGGCATAAACTCTGCTAGGAATTCTAAACTAACAACCCTCTTAACACACGTCCCACTTTTCTCCTATGATATCCTAACACTCCTGGAAAATGTATTCATCAAGGCTTACCTTGTGGTTCTTTCCTCCAGCTCTACTTAGCAAAAGAAATTTTCTCCT